TAATTATGATTTTGTTTTCACTTTCTATGTATTTTGACCTATTCAAACCATTCCACATTCAACGTGTTCTGCAGGTCATTGAGTATCATTGTATATCATTAAATGTCATTTCACATCATTCAATATCATTGCACAATTTTTCACTCTGCCTCTGAACCTTCATACGCAATTTCACCAGAAATTGCATTTTCTAGTTGTCTAAGTGCTTGCTCATCTGGGGTCAATTCATTTTCTTGCTTGTGCGAGGTGTGCGGTTGTTGATTTGCTCTTGTGAAAATTGCCTTGAAATATCTGATGTTGTGAACTGGTGTTTTATAAATAAAATTGACTCGACCTTTGAAGGAATTTTACAGAAAACATGACTCATCTTTGTCATGGGTAATTCAACTGAATTCTTGTTGTGGTCCAGTGTCTCCATCTAGTGTTGAGTCATGATACCGCCTGATGCGCTGTGAAGTCAGACAGATCAATAAAACAAGCTACATCTTGTTTCATTAGTTGGAAAATGGCAGACATAACATTTGCTGGGGTGAGAGTTTCCCGTAATAAGTATGCAAGCACGGAAAATAATAAAATGAAAAGAAGAGACGGAAGAGACATTAAAAAAGAATTTCACATTAATGAGACTGCTTAGGACAAAAAAAAAACAGTCTCTTTTCATCTGTATAACAGGTAGATACTCTACCTTAACGGATGATGTCATAGTGTGTGTGTGTGTGTGTGTGTGTGTGTGCGCGTGTGTGTGTGCGCGTGCGTGCGCGTTTGGTGTGTGTTGTGCGTGCGTGCGCGTTTGTATGTGTGTGTGTGCGTGTGAGCACATATGGAGCACATGGAGTATGTACAATATCAGCAGGCGTCATTATTCCGGAGGCTGACTCATTCCCATTGTCACGCAAGCACACGCTTTGTATCCTTACTCTCGTGTGTTCTTGTTTTCTTTTCCATCAGTTTGGCAGCCAGAGGTGTTGAGGAGGCGGATCTGTCTGAGAACAAGTTGCATCACTGACACACTCCAGTGATTTGTTGGAGAGGTGAAGTCACTTCTCAGGTGACTCACATGAAGTTAACATAAATTTGATGAACATGCGAGAATATTTTCAGCAAACCCGATCATAGAAAAATACAGAGGTCCTTAGTGAAGCCAAAAATTGTACTCAATAAAAATGACTGTGACTTGAGAATAATGTGACTTATGTAAAAATAAAAAGTAATGCTTCAAATAAATTCCTGAGTAAGGGAAGTCAGTGTTTCATGGGGAGGAACGATAGAATAGACAAACAAGGGCAAAATTACCGGTAAGCCACAATAAATGTTTTCAAATTCCCATTTTTGTCCACACATGAAGCACATTGGACCAACAAGGGCAGAGGTGATTCATTATAAAATTCTCTATCATTTAATATATATGGAACTTTGACAAGTGGAATTCAACAATGCTGAAATGTGTTTCATTCCTTAAAAACAATTTGTGGGATCCCATCATACATCTTAATGCTCAGTGCTGGGCATATAATGTGGATAATTTTTCTCCCTGCTTTTTTTTTTTTTTTTTAAGTGCATAGCCTTTTTAACAGCTCGGAACTGAGAACTCAAATGGGTCTGACTGGGTCAGCCAAACTCCACAGAGCACGAGGCTCCAACCGCCCCGTACACACAAAAACAATCGGGCTGTTTTGGTCCCAAATTTTCTCCCATCCCGACCGAGGTCTTCAATCGCCCGACTATATATCGTCTAAGATTGTCCAATAAGATTATCCATCTGTCTGAGGTATTTTAAGAGTGGATTTGTACCGAAAATAACATCCAAAATGGCTCAGGGCCGACCCAAAAAAATTTATGTTTTTTTAATTAAAAAAAAATAAAGCATTCAATATCTATGACCAAAAATCAATCAATGTGTATGGGGAAAGACAACTATTCTCATTTGTCATTTGACTGTGCACTGTGATGTGAACGTAGCCAATCAAAGAAGACTGACGAACAAGGAAGCATATAAAAAAATAAAACAAAATATGTCCTACCTGGTGTCATTTCTTTTGTATAAAAGTGGGTTCTCTGGTAGCTAAGACGTTTTTTTTTTTATTGTTGTTGCTCCTGCTTCTGGAACACTCGGGCAAAATTGCTGCATACTCAGATATTTCTGTTCTTATTCTATTCATTTTTTGTGAGATCACATTTGAGCACACAAGTTTCCTGCCTTGAAAAACTTTGACGGGAGGTCGACGGTGGGACAGATTCAGCATCAAATGTGTATTTTGCTTTGTGTTGAAAGAATTCTGAGCACACACATAATACGACCAAAACAGATGAATACCTCATTTTCTATCTTCATTTTTGGTGGCTGTTTAAGAATGAAAAAATCTCTGTGTGGACCAATGCTTCTTAGACTTGCAAATGCAGCCCGAGGCAGAATTTGGTTGTCAAGTGGTGTTCTTGTAGCTTGAAATTATGACATTTTAGGTCAGACACAAATGATGATTCATTGATTGGTCAATTCCCCAGTGTGGGACAAATAAAGGTTTTCTTATCTTATCTTAATTGGACACTGCTCAAGAGCAAATTTAAATCAGAGATGGCTTACAGGATGTGTCTCGAAACTTGTTTTTGTTGCTAATTTAAAAAAAAAATGCTTCTACTTTTTCATCGACCGCATTACGTTTTTGAGATATTTTCATTTTTTTTTGTTTTTGAAGTTTGACCTGCTTGCGCAATACGGATTTTATCACTCGTTGTAATTTATTGTTATGCCTTTTCTGAACATAATTCCAACTGTTGCTTAGTAAAGCCTTAATTCATATATATGACTGAATATTACTGTATTCCATGTAATATATACCGACAACTTTTGTTTCAGATCTCTGAGATTAATCTGCAAAAAATTGTTCCTCAAAATTAGAAACTTAAATGAAGTCATTGATTTGCCAAACTGTTCCGCAACCATGAAAAAAAAATAAATATTTTGAGCCTTGATGCTTGAGCCTACATTAACGCCTGGTACCTTCGGGACTGTGAAATGTTAAACTTAAGTAACAATAAACTACTTGGTGTTGATTTGGTGCCAACTACAAATTTAGAGTGAGTTGAAAAAATGAACACAAATGGAACCTTGAATTTCGGCCCCACTTCTTCTGAAGTGGGGGCGTTATGTCAAACGTAAATAAAAACAGAATACAATGGTGCACAAATCATTTTTAACCTATCTTCCGTGGAATACACGACATTATTACATGATTGCTGTTTTCATTTCGACCGCACGATACTGTGATTGTAATGTCTATGACAGATCACCTGCAGACCCAGGCAAGATTCTAAACACGCAGTGTAGAGAGTGAGGACCAAAAAAAGGAGTCGAACAAGACATGCTGTCATTAGGGGCCGTCACCCCCCATCGTCTCACACTGGTGAGTCAAGGTTTTCTGTTGATTCACGTCTGCTCAACGACAGGCGAAAACTGAAGTCACCCTCCTCCTTTTTCATATCCCCTCCCGCCCCTCCTCCTACTATTTCACTCCTCCTCGCTGTTTATCTCTTTGTCCAAAATTCCCTTTCCTTCCGGTCTGTTAATTGTTGTACAATCAAGCTCGCTGTCTCTGGGTACTTGAGACCATTGGAAAAAAATCAAAAACATTCATTTGTACCTTCAGGCCAATGCGGCTCCGACGGGGGATTTCACCGCACTGATGACGGGGCACAGTCTTCCTTCCTGAACCCACATAAATCTGTCGGTGAACTTGCTCCCGTAGTATGATATTAAAGCTATTTTTCATGGCATTCTACTTGGCAGGGAAGGGGAAAATGGTTGGTAAGCAAGTAAAACCTTGGAGAAGAAATGCTGTTTTGAGTTCTTTTTTTTTTTTTGCTTGACTAGCAGTGGACCACGTCACTTGTAATGACGTGACTCCCTTGTTGTTTTTGAAACAGTTGCTTTAACTAAAATTGGCATACTCTTTAAAACGCCCCATAAAAACCACAGGCTGTATTGCACATTGACCCATGTTTTTATTCTCCTCTGTGCCGATGTTCTTTGACTTTTGCCAAGAAAAAGTGACAAGAACGGACTTGCAAGGACATTTTTCAAATGAGTGAAGGACCTCTGTCATCGCAGACACGGAATAGTAGAGGCTGCTGACCTGAGGCTATAGTTTAATATACACACAAGCACAAACTCACACCCATTGCTTGCACACATGGAAATGCATTTTAAAGGTTTTTTTAAGTGAAGTTTGAGCAGTGCATATTGTAAAGAAAACCAAATCATAGAAATGATGACAAGAATCATAGGCAGTAATTTGAACATTTAATTTCGAAGGTTATAAAACAATGTAACAAATATCCAAACAATACACATACAGTCATGGATTTTATGCCAAAAGAGTAAATAAATACTGATTTAAACTGTGGAGTAAAATGTTTGGATGCCCTTGCATTAAAAAAAAAAACCCTCTTACATAGCAATGTAGGACAGAGGTACTTGTGCATCTCTATTACGTAATGGGAAATGTAAGATGTAGTGGTTGACCACTTCAAAATTTGTAGTGACGTGCTTGGCGATGACATCATTCTGTGTGTGTGCTCTAGAGTCAAACATTCTCTGAGATGATTCATTCTCCAGATGATCATTATGCATTTATGTATATCTTTTAATTACCGTATTTTCCACACTATAAGGTGCTTCAGAGTATTAGGCGCATCTTCAATGAATGGCCTTTTTTAAAACTGTTTTCATATCTAAGGTGCACCGTATTATAAGGCGCATAGAATAGAAGCCAGAATAGTAGCTGTGGTTGCATGATGCATCCACTGGATAGAGCTACTCTCAAGGGAATACAATACAATACAGTTTTCTTTATATAGCGCTTTTACAACTGCTGCAGTTGGAACAAAGCGCTTGACAGAACATTTAAAATACTGCGTCCAAGAAATCAGAATATTGATCCACATATAAGGCATATTGGATTATAAGGCGCACTGTTGGCTTTTCAGAAAATTGAACGCTTTTAGGTGTGTCTTATAGTGCGGAAAAATACGGTATATTTGACGAGAGCAAATTGTAACACTGAGTTGATTTAATCATCAGAAACAACGCCCCCCAAAAAAAAAAAATCATCAAACTCTTCCCTGAGATCATTGAACTGTCCACTGGTGTCCATAGCAGTCACAAGTCCTGTTACAGTCTGTCTGAGCCCGCAGAGAGGTTGTGCTCAAGTTCCTGCAAATAGTTCATCTGCCAGGGATGTCCCAATGCTCCACAAGAGTGTCTATATACCCTTGAGAGCAGGAGCCCCACATTCCGGGCTGATACCCCAACCCGTCACCCACCTGAGAGTATCGCAGAGGGCTAGTCGGACGGTCATGCGGGCTGCCACAGTGGTCGTGTGAGGCATAAAATTGTCCCTCTGTAGGATAACAAGGGTAGTGTGGTGAAGGGGGACACGAAGAGATCCCATTATCCATGTAGACGTGCGGCTCCACAGCCAGCCTGTGCATGTGTGGCCCCTCTTGTGGCTGCATCTGGTGAGAGATGGACGCATGCCAGGGAGCGAAACTCTGATGCTCCAGTCGAGGGATGGTACCCCCGGTTGGCTCAAGTCGAGATGCTGCCATCGCTGCTGGCCCCACCAGTGACCTGTTGCACTCCCGATGGGTGCAAGGCTTGCTGGGAGGGTGCGTGCTCAGGAATACAGAGAGAGCCGAAATGCGATTGATGGCCCTTTGCAGCGTGGCGATCTTTGAGAGCCGTTTGCCACTGAGGTCATGATTCAAAGCAACACGGAGAGCATTGAAGGCCTGGTTGTAGTCCATGATGCGTTTTCTCTCACGGACATTGGCTGCCACTCGTCGAGCTTTGGAGCGGACTGGCCTATTCCGTTTTTTGGTCTGGCTCTCCTCCGGGTCGCTTGGGCTGCTAGTTGAGCTCTCGCTGTCTTGAAATGACGTCTTTGGACTTCTTTGGTTCTTGGCTTGGCCAAGTGCGCTGAGGTCCAACTCTTCCTCTGAAAACTCAGACTCTGCAACGCTGCTGCAGCTCATTGTGTCGTCCAAGTGGACAGTACTTGGAGGGATGAAAAATACGACTTGCAGTGAAAATCTCAACGCCGGACTACATTAGCAGATTGCTGCATGCGGGGCTGTCGGTGTTTGCTGCTGTGCCGACAGCCCTGGTGCTCTCTTCCCCTGTGGCTCCTCTGGTGACTTGCGGTTACTTGTACTTCAACAGGACAGGTTGGCTTGCTTTTTAAAGCTCCCGTAGTCACATGGTACAGTCACCTGTGAGGAATGATGCACTCTCTCCCTATCGCGGTTTACGAGTACCCTCCAGCCAAAATGGCACTGTCACCTCCTCCTCCTCTGACTCTCCCTCACATCCCTTACAAGTTTCAACACTTGTGCCTCAGCATACAAAACAAATCACACGACAAATATGGAAAATAAATCCAGATTTTAATTTGCTTTGTTGTAAAGGGGTGGCTACCACAATGACTTGGTCTTCATTCATCCTAATGTCTTCCTTTTTGCAACCTTTTCTGGACTTCACTGCATGCAGCTCATTCTTTTGTATAAATAGGAACAAAGCCATCATTCAATACGCAACATGAATGACATATCACAAGGAGACAAATTGCACAGTTATCCAAGGGTCCCTATCTTCAAAACATGTTTTTCCTTTTCTCTCTTGGAACCTTCTTCTCGACCACAGGTTACATTGGTCTTGCAATTAGACATCTCAAGAGCGATGATTTGACCTTCTCTCAGTCTCTCTCTCTCTCTCTCTCTCTCTCTCTCTCTCTCTCTCTCTCTCTCTCTCTCTCTCTCTCTCTCTCCCTCTGTCCCTCTCTGTGCAACGGTTTAAGGGACCATGTAATTTAGAGTAACTTCCCTCGAAACCATCCTCATAAATCAGGTTTGGGCAGCACCTCAGGACAAGAGCATTGCAAAGCCACAACTTCAAAGAGGGCGGAGGGGGACAAGGGCACTTTACTATTAGAACCTGCAATTGCTGATGGCTGAGGCGACCAATCTTCCAGAACTCGTTACCCGTAAATATAATGCAGTTCCAATATTTTTAAATGACCTACAAATCGTGAAAGCACAAGTCTTTTTTAATAATGACATCTACCATGTAAATAACCTTTTCAAATTCAGACCGTTCCAAACAGCAGAGTTGTCAGTGAAATGATCTCACCCATGTGAATGGTACAAGTGTTTCGGACAGCAAAAAGGTGATGGTGCTGACTTTCAAGCATCTGACCCTGAGTGAGCATGAGGTCAGGTAACTCTTCAGACACTTGAACTGAGGGTCATTGAGAAGCATTGCTTCCTTCCTCTAAGTTTTATTGTGTGTTGTGACTTTGAGACACTCATCTTAAAACAATTACAGGCTTACTGCTTTAAGCAACTGTTGAGTTGAGGTGTCTCATTTTCCTGTGTGTCTCTGTGTTCTGAGCGGTAGCTGATTTTAACAGAAAAGTACCAAACGAACAACCATTCACGTTCACAATCACAACTAGGGACAATTTGGAGTATTCCATTAGCCTGTCATGCATGTTTTTGGAATGTGGAAGGAAACCGGAGTACCCGGAGAAAACTCACACAGCACGGGGTGAACATGCAAACGCCACACAGGGAGGCGGAGCCGGAATCGAACCCTGCACCTCTGGACTGTGAAGCAGAAATGCTCACCAGTCGACACCCCCCCCCCAAAAAAAAAATATATATATATACATGGCACTCTGAGACTTCTTGTGATTAAGGGCTTTCTAAATACATTTGAATTGACTTGTGTCTTTGTTTGTGTGAAGCCGATTGAGTTGTCTTGTGGATGTAATGTGCCATACTGTATAAAGTAAGCTGCCATGCCTTTTTTTCATGATTTGAAATGTTCCTTATTTGTCGATTAAAAGAGTCATCATTGTGAAGAAATATTGATGGAATTTTTTGGATGAATAATTTTTTAAAAATCAAAACAGAATATGGTTTATAATTTTATATTCTTCAAAGTCGGCACCCTTTTTTTCCGGATAATAACAGCTTTGGTATTTTCTCAGTCAGCTTTATGATGTGGAGTGACTTTCAGTTCACAGCTGTGCATTATCAAAATGTAATCCCTTGAATTTCTTGACCTCTTTATGAGTCTGAGACCATTTGAATTTGAAGTTGTCTCCAAAATTTTTACTGGTACTGTACCTCTATTATGGCATGTTTCATCAAACTTGTCTGAAAAGTGAAGGCTCCCTTTTCACGCAACAGAAAACATTTTGGGAAATCTCCAAATTCACTGCTTACCAAAATCAGTATCCTGTTAGTCATCAACATCCCGCTGTGTAGTGTGTGCCTTCATTTATAATTAGTTCTATTTTAATCCTTGTTTTGTGTTCAGCAATGAGCTCTTCCACTGAATTGTAAAATAGTTACATACACTTCTTTTACCTAACACACCTTTCAAGTAACCCCGCTGATCATTTTGCATACCTTTAATCTCTCAAACTTCGAAATGTTCACCCCATGCCGCAAAGGCTAGCGCAGCCTTTATCAGAAGCTCTGGATGTACAGCTTGACAAACATTTCACATTGACTGCAGTGTTGTAAACACCACGCAGACTGCAGATTCAGACTCTCCCCGCCCGTCCATTTTTGACAGGTGACAACACACCCGTAATTATCAGCCAGCCAGAAATAAATCACAAGATTTTATCAGGCAGCTCACCTCACCGGTGCTGGGATAACCATTTTCAAGGAAGCGCTACCTGTCCAATGCCGCCGCGACAAAGATTTGTAAATCTCATGCTCAAGCCCCAATAATGACTGGTTGTTAGCTGTTTCTTATTAGAGGTCTGTGTGCCAAACGTAGATGTGTATTACCAGAGGGGTGGTTAGGACTAATAAGCGAGTAAGGTCTGGCTTCGCTTAACCTTGGCTTTGCAGTGGTATGTTAATGTATGTTTTTGGCCATTGCGAGGAATTTTCTCACCTCAATAAAAAAGGTGTTTGTGGTTGCCTCAGTCCCTGAACCAATTGTCACAACCTTAATCCCTTGAATTTGTAGTGTCAAATGTCGATTTCGGTTAAAGGGTAGTCGTTACTTTTTAACTTTTAAACAGTGCGTGCTCTGACCTCGCCTACAGTATATGCTAGAAGAAATAAAAACATGTCGGGAAAAATGTGATTCATATCAATCATTATTTAGAGGTCTCTCTAAATAATGTGATGTTTTATATGTGTTATACTATTTGCTGGTATCCAAAAATTTACTGTATGCATTTGCTCACACTTTCACACTTTCAACACTCAAGCCTTCCTCAGGTCTGTTGCTGCTTTGGGTGATCTCCCCATTAGTACCGACCACTTCTGGTCGTAATATTTTTTTAGGGCGGCCCTGAAATGCAAACCGGAAGAGGAAATTACTGGTTGGGTCAGAGAGTGATAATGAGAGTGTTGGTTTTTTTGGACAAGAGGCACAGTCAGTCAATCAGCGTCTCATTTGTTAGGGTTGTTGTTGTTTTGTTCTTTAATTGTGATGACAATATGTGGATGTGTCACATAGTGCATTCAGCATGTTAAATTTTTTTTTCCTGGTGGCTTAAACACGATCTTTGTAACTATTGGCTATTTTTTTCAAAACTCTTCACACAAATAAGACAAACTTTCACCAAAGTGGCAAAACATTGTAGTTCTTTTGCACAAGCAAATAAGTCTAACTTAACTCTTCAAACCTTCATTAAAAAAAGTATCAATTGTAAAAAAAAAATAAAATGCAACAATAACACAAACTGTCCCACTAAAGCTTCTTGACTTACAAGTTGCTGCACTCTAATCATAAAACCACACATTTATCGTGCTGGCTTTAACATTCCTTATTATTATACAGATATAGAGCGAGGCTATAACGTGTATAATAGAAAAGACGAGAAGAATAGAAAAGATTATTTCAAATTAAAGATAGCTGACAGGCATGGAAGAGAAAAGTGTTTGTAAAGCAATACTGTCATCTAGTGGCGTCTTATGGTGTAATTACAAGCACATCGCCATTAAAACTAAGGCGTTATTTTAAGGCATATTTGGCAGTGGTTCGCTGTATGGTTTTCGAGAACAAATTGGATTTTATGTAATTTTATTATACTTTATTTTTTAGAGATTTCTGTTCTTTTTGTACAAATCTGTACAAAGTGGAGTGGACACGTTAATCGCTGCTGATCGGGGTTTCAAATCTTAAGGTGACTCTGTTATTTAGTTGTTTTAAGGCAAGTTCTTTTTCACTAAATCTAAACATATCGATGTTTGACCTGCAGTGGAAATACATTGTCTTTACCATAAACGTTTAGTCTTTGTCTCCATGTTTGATTTCGGTCACCTTAAAGAAACACAGTAACTCCTGAGTTACGAGATGATGGTCATTAATGTGTAAGCTGTTTTTCAGTGGATGGCTCTTCTTTACGAATGACAGATGGAGAGATGGAATCCTTTAATGCAGTTTATTAAAAAGGAGAAAGAAAAAAGAACGTCTGCACCTCCGAACGGATGAACGAGAACACACCCCCCTTTCAGCATGAAAGCACTTCCTGCTTCTCCTTAGCCAATCAGACGCAAGCAACGTAAGAATGTTTCAACAATTATTAAACAGAATATAATTTAGATAACTATAACATAAAAGAATATAATGCTCAAATATAAAATGAAAATAATTAATAATTTAACATAAGCTTACAAATGTAAGATGGTTGCCATGTTAAAAAAAAGTCACTAAGGTTGAGGTCAGTGACAGTCTCTAATTCGTGACAGTCGGATGTTCATGTAAACCTCTCATGTTGATTTATGTCACGCAGATCTCGTACTGATGTCATGACACGTCGAACAGTTTCCGCTGCAAAGGAATGTTGGCACGCTTCCTCCCCTGCCCTGAATCATGTTATGAATCATTCACTTTAAGACGGCTGGATTTACTGGTGGATCAGTAAATGCAAATGTGAGGACAGATATTTATTGAAATGATACTTGTATTATTCCACGCCATAATGGCACAGACAATCGGCTGCTTCTATTTGTTTATACAATTCGGACACATTGCATATGAGCCGACAAAAAACAAACAAGTTCTTCAAGGCAGAGATGCATGTTCATCTCCGGCATTCTTTCCACAGAGAAGTCACTCATTACACTGGGTTATCATTAAGGAGTCCTTTCGCAGTGTTGGAACAGGTGGTCAAGGTTATATGTCTATGGGGCCGGTTCCCACACAACAAAGGATATTTGAATTTGGTGCTCGCTGACAGCAGACACTCCGACAGACATACTCGGTGTAACTGACTCCAAAATGTGCTGTCCAAAATGAATGTGTGTGTGTGTGTGTGTGTGTGTGTGTGTGTGTGTGTGTGTGTGTGTGTGTGTGTGTGTGTGTGTGTGTGTGTGTGTGTGTTAAGTGTCTGCAGATTGTGTATTGATGTAAACGTGTTCATTGTGCAACTTTCCTCTTTTAGGTCGGTCCTGTGGAGGGCATAATCTTCTCATGCCTCAAGACTTTTTAATTCTACCAGAGGATAAAAGACAATAAATCTATGTTACGGTCTGTGGAGTTGATAGAACAGTCTCAGTCGATGCCCTCGTTCCATCAATTTGTGCAGAGAAGAATTTCTTGACGTTGTTTATTGTCAGTTACCTAAGTGATTGTTTCCCAAAATTCCTCCATTAATAGTTCCGTTCGTTTGTGACTCTGGAAATTCATTTGTCAAAACTATCGGTATTAATACTGCCAAATATTGTCGGACTGTTGACTATATTTATGCTTTAAAATAATAAACTGACTCTTAAAAAAAATCCTTCCCAAAAGAAAAAAAAGCCCATGTGTTTATTTTTTAAATTGTATTAAAAAACATGTAAACAATTCAGAATGTGCACGCAATTGTTTGTTATTGAATATGAACTAACAGAGAAACTGAAATAGTCAGTATCAGGGTCAGTCACCAAAGTTTCTTAATTTTACAGGCAACATTGCCTGTGTTTTTTTAAACACTGCTCACTCTCAAAAAAAATTACAATTAATTATGCCGCTGTAATAATCAATTTTCCAATCATAAAACACTCTTTCAACGCGCAGTCAATAATCCATTCAAAGTTGAACAAAGATCACATGAAAAAGTTTATGTGATGTTCTTGAAAAGACTGACATACAGTTCAAAATATTATCAAATACAGAAATATCAATTACAAACAGCTGCAAATTGTTTGCATAGAACAAGGCTCTTATGCTGGAAAATACCAGTTGGTGTAAAATACACGTTTTCCCCTCTAGATGGGGTAAGTAAACTACAAAACGAGAAAGACGAGAAGCTTTCTTGGCAACACGTGAATTGCAGGAAAGACGCGTGTATTTTTCACTGTTCTTTAAAGCATTTGAGTCAAAGGACAGAAAAATGCAAAGTATAAGCATATAAGTATGTATAATGTCCCCTTCAGCTGCCAATCACTCTAAATCAGGGGTCCCCCAACCTTTTTTGCCCCACGGACCGGTTTAAGTCAGACAATATTTTCAGGGACCGGCATTTAAGGTGTGGCGGATTAATACAACAAAATAATATGGAATGAGCTGCATGAAAACTGTGGTGTTTTCGAAATATAATAATAAACACAAGGAGCGTCTAATCTGGCCGCAACACTCTGATCGCTATGATAATGTTTAATGCCTTCAAAATACGATACAACGCAAATTCAAAGTGCATGAAAATGATGACTCACCACAGTCCCGAGCTTGATTTTCTGCAACCAGACGGTACCATCTCGGGGTAATTGGAGACAATTACACCTCAAGTGTGTGGTTTATGTCCAGTCTACTTCGTAATTTTGTTTTAGTCGCCGTTGTTGCACAAAACCCCCGCCTCACACAGGTAGCATGTCGGAAATAGCAACAGTGCTATTGTGGCGATCTCAGAGTATTCAGCCATACCTTTAATCTAGTAGGCTCTAACATACTTTTAAGGCCGCAGTCATTTGCGATCTCCAGCAGTTTTTATTTTTTTTACTCATTTTGCAAGCTTCAGCGTTTTGTTTTTAGCGTCATCGGTCACGTGACCGAGAAGCGTGGCTTGACGTGAGTCAAGCGTGACACGGACGGATGTAACGGAGAATCTGGTAATTTTTCAAAATAAAACATCTTTCGTATACCGAAATAAATAAAACGGAATTAAGGCAAGTTCTTTCTGTGCGGCTCGGTACCAAATGCCCTGCAGACCAGTACCGGTCCGTGGACCGGTGGTTGGGCACCCCTGCTCTAAATGAAAGCCTTTAGTGAATGACTGATACATTCCAGTGATAAATAGGTAAGAAAGTCGTTACAATAATCAAGTCTACTGGAGATAAAAGCATGGATATGTTTTTTTTTTTTTTTTTTTTTTCTGGTATGCTTGGAGCATGCAGACTCTTTGGTCTGTAGGTAGGTACTTGTAGACCGGTCCCCACTCCCGATCGTTCGTGTGTCCCACCCCATCACTGTGCCGCACAGTGGGTTGATCTTAAAAATATGATACACTGATTCAAAGGGTTTGAGGCCTCCTGTTGAGATATTTAAGAATGAAAAACATTTGATATCCACTACACTTCCTCGGACCTCAGAACCCATCTGGCTGTGCCCAAACCAGCTGTGCCGTATTGAAATCTGGTCTGAGCAGACGCACATTTACATGGACAGGTTAAATTGGAACTTAAACAGTACAAATGCAAATGCCGAGCTAACATTTAGCTTATAAAATACACAGCGTATTTATACATGCATATATTCACATATAAAGCATATTTTGCGCTTACAATAAATTTGGAGCATTCAATCAACCTGCCATGCATGTTTTTGGAATGTGAGAGGAAACCAAAGTACCCGGAGAAAATCCACACAGGCACGGTGAGAACATACAAAATCCACACAGGAGCCCAGAATCGAACCCTACACGTCTGCACTGTGAGACAGACGTGCTAGCCAGTCGACCACTGTACATACCCTGTTATTGGTTTATTTATTTATTTAATTGATAGAATAAATTCTTCCTTGACGTTCAGTAAAATAATGAAATTGATAACCAGCACATTTTCAAAATTAGAGCAAATCATTTTATATACAAACAGTTGCTTTAATGAGGCTGTAAGCAAAAGTGAGGAAACGGTCAAATGTGTTCATCCCCTGACTTGGAATTACTGTACACATGGATTTTTTTGGGGGGGGGGGGGATTTGTAACAGAGGGCTCCCATTGCAGATTGTCTTAAAGCAGCAGCGTGAGCACTGATCCAAATCAGTCAGTTGCGCTGTTGCTCATGTGTGCATGCAACCTCCTTTCCCTCTCATTCATTGCTTTACAATGACCCCCTCCTCCATCCCAAATCCCGCTCCTGCTCCCGAGCGCAGTCATTTCTAGTGCAGAGAAATGTCCCTGGTGACACTGAAGGATGACGCAGGCGCTTTCCTCCATTCGGTGTCTCACCAGCCCACCGCCACCTCCCAACACCATCTTTTACCTCTTCCTCCTCTTGCCTCCTTTTCCCCCCCCTTTTAGATTCCCTCTTCCTGCCTGCCTCTCCTACACTCATATTGCTGCTTCTGCCTATCTCCCTGCCTCTCTCTCTCTCTCTCTCTCTCTCTCTCTCTCTCTCTCTCTCTCTCTCTCACTGCTCTGGCACTGCAGTGCTGATTGTGATTGCACACACACATACACACACACACACGCGCACACACGCACACGCACATGCACCCACACAGACCGTTGCTGAGAGGCAAGGACTGCACCAGCACGCGCCAACCGCGGCTGAGCTGCTCGCGAGCATGAGAAAGGCGAACCGAGGCGAGAATGTTGTGCGCTGTCTCACGTCAGCATGCATCATTGCAGCGGTGGCAATGATGCATTTCAAGAGCAGATAGCTTATGTTATCCGGCCTCCTCTGCACTGCCTCTGCATCCTGTTCGCCCTGCTCCTCCCACTCGAACTCTTCCTCCTCCTCATCCTCCTCCCGTCTACTGCTTCACTAGACAGGACTATAGATTGACCGGGACAAGCGAGTGCTGGATGATCAGGTTTGCGCCGGCTGAAAGATTTCTCTGTGGCGATGCTACACTTACATCTTCACCGATTCCTGGATTTTAATTGACACGTGAGGCAAGAAGATAACTCGCCACCTGCAGGATATCTTGGATGTGTGTGTGTCACTCCTAGCCAGCAGTTGCCATTGGCTCATTTCCTTGTTTTTGCTGGTTGTTTTTGCCTTTCCTGGCTAGCAGGCACTGCAGCATCAGGACCGCAAGACCAATGAAGTAGTAGGGCATGTGGACCCAGGGCAATCCGAACTAAGGGCTTGAGTGCTTCCATTGCTACCACTGCTGAGGTGCTTATCTTGATTTTTTTTTTTTTCTTTCGGCCAGAAAAAGAGAGTCTGGTGGGGGTGGGTGGTGAGAGCACAGGTATCCGGGCCCCTGCAGAGGCGAATAGAGCAGGGTGGCTCGTGCGTCGAAGAAGCAAGCAGGACGTCCTGTGGGAAAGGGGCGGCTCAAGCGTTGGCCTCCTGATGGTGGCTATTTTTGTCTCCCCTAGCTGAGTGACTGGGACAGCAGGTGGAAGAGAAGATGCTTATGGCCCGAGACACGGCGCGAGATGAGGCTCAAAAGCTACACAGGAAGTGGCTGAAGCACCAGGCCTTTATGGCAGAACTGGCCCGTAACAAGGAATGGCTGGCCAAGATAGAACAGGTGAGTCGATGTGATCAGGGCATGATGCAGGATGGAGAGGTCACACGGAGCAGGTGAGTCAGACGGAGGTGGGAGTGGGGTGCCACGTTCACAAGATGGCATTTCTGAGTTGTTGTTTGAAGCTAGTAGAAATCGGGAAAGGTGTCATAACTCATTGAGGGCATCTTGAATAACATTCTCAAGGTTATGAATGTTGACTGGGCTTTTCACATTCACAGGTGACATGATCGCTTTGGCCTCTTTTTGCAACAATGTAAAAGAGTACAATTGCGTCAGTCCACCGTTTAGCTTACGGTTGATTTTTGATTCACTCAGACGTTCTCAGCAGCCGGAATCAGTGCAGATCTTTCAACATACGATGTTGTCCTATAGTCATAAAGAAAGGCAGGTTTTATTTCAGACAAAAATCCAACTTTGCTACTATGCTATGCTATGCTATGGAGATATCCTCTGCCTCGGTGAAGTTAAGGTGGGCTATTGACATGTAAATTAACCCATGTTAGCACTCCACGTATTCCATGTTGCAAATATGTTGCAATTTCATTCAGGAATAGCATTCCCAGTTAAATATGTTCCCATTTAAGCATACAGGTACTGATGATGATAAACTGATAGTGTGTTTTGTAATGTAAACTCTTCGGCATCTTTCTGCATTACAATTAAAATGAGAACATTATTTCTGACAAAAATCAGATAAGATATGATGTGTTCTTGGGATGTTTGAACTTAGTCAATAGAAACTGTAATACAAATCAATTTTTGTTTTGTAAAAAAAAATGCAATAATCTTTAGACATTAATTTACTGTTGTCTTCATGATTTAATATGCATGATATAGCAGTGTCACTAATTATATCAATGGCCCTTGAAGACGAGTCCTGTAATGTATCAAATTCGCCATTTTGGCTGTCTACTGTATATGTAAAATGTTATTTAAGTTTAAGGTAATCGTCCTGAACACATATTTTGAAGACGAGGCCCACGGACTGAACTGTCACCGCCATATAATTTTATGTCGGCCACCAGAATTTAAAATGTGTATGGTTGCCTTATAATAAGGCTTTATTAGACTTATTAGTAAATACTCTTCACTGAGGGGTGGCATAACTCTGATGTGGTGAAAATGAATTTGATCATAACCCTGGTCTAGACCCTCAAAAAGCGTTAGCAGACACCATGGCTCTATTTTCATGATCGACGTGAATCCTGCATGGCGCATAGTACAACTGCACCGAGGTGGGTTAAGCCCAATATTGGTAATTTGGCAGACAGGCGCTGGAGGGAGTGTTGCGCCGCTGTGGGAGTGGTCACAGCTAAATTAAAACATGGCCAATCGAAGCGGCTCCTTTTATCCTTTTTAAATGCGGCACGCTAGTCGCGCACATGGTGGAAGCACATCTGTGCTGTAAAGTGGGCACCTGGAAACCAAACCTCCACCTCCGATTGTTCTTGTAAGCTGTGCCGCCAAGTGGGATGATTTAAGAAATATAATACAATGATTCAGAGGGTTTGATGCCCTCTGTGCACATATTGAGGATTGAAATACATTCTGTTCGACCAGCTGTTTACTTATGGGCCACTGTTAGATGTGCTCTGAGCAGCTATAAGGTTCAGATCAAATTTCTGCCACTGAATTGTCACTACACCAGATGCTTCTCCAAGACACTCCTTCTGCTGGGCTGGCCATCCAAGCTCAGCTGAGACCAGTCTGTCAATTTGGCAAACGCGCATCGAGCCTTGCAGTCATCCAAAAATTAGGATCCGTTGGCTTCTACCTTACGGCGTTGGTTGACAGAGCCACATGAGTTTAAACACTGTAAGGAGCTAAAAGTGTACTTCAGTCAATCCATGACCTACTCTGACGGGAATCGGTTGTAGTGTCCTGCAAAGTTTGTATACAACAGCACACAACTTTAAATACCAGCTGAAATTAAGCAACATTATCATTACAATGTCAGCAGTGTGTACTTGGTGTGGGACAGAATATCGCAATGTCGATGTCGCAATGTTGTACACTGCATTGTTATCCGTCACGGGTTTAATAGGCCGCCAGCATCAGGTCAGATCGACACAATTCTGAAGCACTAAATTACAAATTTGAGCTACTAAAACTTTAAGGGATAATGGGTAGATATTACCGTATTTTCCGGATTATAAATCGCTCTGTAGTATAGGTTGCACCATCCATAAAAAGCATAATAAAAAAGAAAAAAACATATATAAGTCATATTGGAATACAAATCACATTTTGGGGGGAATATTATTTGATCAAATCCAGACATGTCATCTTGAAAGGCAATTTAAAATAAAAATAAAACCAAGAACAGACTGAATAAGTGTACCATAAGCTAACGTTACCTGACGCATAAACAACGAACTGACAATGTGCCTGCTATGCTCACGAACATATTAAGAGTTATTCAGATAACGAGAGCAAAAGGAACAAGTTTACCAAACCATCAGTGTCACTCCAAATCACTAAATCCACTGAAATCTTCATCCTGTGTGTCACTTTTAAACAACTCAGCCAACTCGAGGTAGAAAATGCGGCGCTTCCTCGTCTATGTCGCTTACGTCAGACTCAATGTCGATTTATCCACACAGGCCTAGAGCGCCTTCTTGCGGTTGAATGTGAAAATAACATGTGAATTAATGTACTGATGTGTTAGTAATTTCACACATAAGTCGCTTTAGAGTATAAGTCGCATCCCCGACCAAACTACGACAAAAACTGCGACTTACTGCCCAGAAAATACGGTAGTCTGTTTTTCTATTTCTCCAGTTATATATTAGCCATGTGATCTTATTTTCTTACAATGTATTGACATCATCTCTGTTTTGTGCCGTTTGTTGTCCTTGGCAAAATATCGCAATAACATCACATCGCCCTATGTGCTGCAATTCCCAGCCTTAGCACACAGTTTGGCAAACTGTCATTAAATATTATTAAATACGATTCCTTGATAAGCATTTCTGAAAGATGTTACTTTACAGACTGAAGTTGTCTACAGAAAATGCAAGTGGAAAAAATAAGAATGTTGTGTGTGTGTGTGTGTGTGTGTGTGTGTGTGTGTGTGTGTGTGTGTGTGTGTTTTCTATTTCAATTCATCCAGAAGAACATTTGTGAGGTCATGTTTGATGATGTTCATTCAAAAGGTGGCTCTGAGTGAGCCCTCGAGTTCTTTTTACGCCAAACTGGATGGATGGTTTGTGTCGTGGGCCGTCTTGTGCTCGAAGCGAAAAGGGGCCTTCTCAAAACTGTTCTTGCAAAGATGAATGATTGAGGAGATCCATCAATCCATCCATCTCTTTTCTACACCCACAGTCCATGTTAGGATCGATGTAGGCTGGATCCCAGCTGATTCTGGGGGTGCGAGGCGTTGTAAACCTTCAACTGGTTGATAGTCTATAACAGGGCACATTCAGATGAGAAGTCAAATACAATTTTACACCAATGGGCAATTTCGGTTCCTCACTTAACCTATCGAGCATGTTTTTTAAAATGTGGCAGCCACAGAAAATTCGCAGGTCGATGCGAACTCCACAGAAAGGCCAGAGAAAAAACTCAGAACATCTCAACTGGGATCCAAACGTGCTTAGCGCTACTCCATGCCCCTAATATGTTTGGTAAATTGTTTTAAATGTCATTAGGAAAAAATGTATTGGGAGATGAACCCTTTGAGGGACAGCGGTTACTATAGTGGACAGCTTATCAGGTTACAGGTTAAAAAAACATATCCTCCAGGGGCATAACCCCCAATCGAAGAAAAGCTCGTTTGAGGTTGGGAAGCTCCGGTATGATGCAAATGTTTTTGTTTTTTATGACCATTGGTTTTAGCAAGTTACTGGATGTGAGATCACCTCTTTAGAATGTTGACAAGTGATGTTGTGGAAACACTTATGTGGACTTGTCCTGGGATCCTGCAGCAGAGTATAACCCCTTGTTCTTATTGATACCTTTCATCGTTGTTTAGCTGCACATACAAAGAGAAATCATTTTTGGAAGGCGGTGTAACAGGTCCTGATTAGGGATGAACATTTGATAAAATAAGGGATCAATTAATCAGTTTGTATTTAATAAACTGAGCTTTGAAAGGGATATATGAGTCCTGTGCTTTGTGTCGTCTTTCTCTGGCTTCGCTCCGTATTTTCGCAGATAAGTACTTACATGGGCGGCACGGTGGGCGACTGGTTAGCACGTCCGCCTCACAGTGCAGAAGTGCAGGGTCTCGATTCCGGGTCTGGCCTTCCTGTGTGGAGTTTGCATGTTGTCCTCGTGCCAGCGTGGGTTTTTTCCGGGTACTCCGGTTTCCTCCCAAATTCCAAAGACATGCGTGGCAGGTTAATGGAACACTCAAAATTTTCCCTAGGTGTCAGTGTGAGCACGATTGTTTATCTATGTGTGCCCTGCGATTGGCTGGTGACTAGTTCAGGGTGTACCCTGCCTACTGCCCGAAGACGGCTGGGATGGGCTCCAGCATGCTCGCGACCTTTGTGAGGATAAACGAATAAAAAAATGGATGGATGGATGTTTGGATATGGAAACAATGTTATTCCTTCTCAATGCATAGAGTTGGAACAATTATATTTTGGGACAAATACAGTCCTGTGCATGGGACACCTGAAAAGAATTTTTGTTTCATCAATTTAATAATTGAAATTTGAATGTCACTCAGTAGGACACACACTTCAACGCCAAGATCCCAACAAAAATGCAAAAACAATTGTGACGCATCATATTGATGTTTCTTTTTTCATATGTTTGTTGAGTTGGTCATCTTGCCTGTTTCCTTCACCCACCGCCATCATTTAAGTTGTTTAAATGATGGCGAGCTTACCCATGATCTCTTGTTCTAAAATATGGATGGATATTTAAAGCATCATCGAATCACAATTCCCGCTCCTGGAAATTTGATACCATTGTCAATATGAACTGGTTACTGGTCATTCTGGGGAAGGTTGCACGAGGCTGTTTCAAACCAGACAACGCTTGTTAAACAG